GACCGGAAACCACGCCATCGGCACCGGCTGCTGACACACGACCGGGCCCAGGGCAAGCCGCTCGGCCCAGCCCCGCGTCCTCAAAGACGGACGTTGCTCACGGAGGCCCTTCTTGGGAGACTGTCTGACCCGGGCTGTTTGGAATTCTTGAAGAAGTCAGCCCCTTTTAGGGACGTGTCGCTTCGACCTGGACATGCCCTATGCTTCGTCCCACGTCCTCCCCCTAGAGCGGCGTTTCCATAAAAGGAACCTGTTTCTGGGGGTGCAGCCTGTTTCTGGGAGAGGGAAGTGCTCTCTCCGCCACACAGCCCAGCTCCAGAAAGGTTACAGCGAGCTCTCTCCGCCCCCTGGTGGGCACTGGATGGACTTGCTGGGAGGCCACTGGATCGCATTCTCATGAAACAAAACAGAGAAAAAGCCCAGTCCTACCTGGGGGTGGAACCAAACCCAATGCGTTACCGGTTCCCCACGTGATCTTTTCAAAGTTCAAGATCAGCCATGAGGTGCTGCCAAGCACATGGCAGCCAGGGCCGCCCGGGGGAACCCTCAGGCCCACGCGGGATGCGGTGCGTTTGATCTTTGCCACGAGAACCTTACAATCGGGTCGCTGGTGAAGATCCCCCGTCAGGGCACGGGAGCCGGGTGAGACGCGGGCGTCAGCGCTGAGCCCGCCGGCGGGGCGTCTGGGCAGGACGTGCAGGTCGCGCTCGGCCCGGGAGCCCAGGCCTGACTTCCTCACGGCCCCAAATGCCCCTCCTACCCCAGAGCCACCGGGAGGGCCCCTTCGGACATCGACACGCACGCGACAGCAGCGCAGGCCGGACACCACAGCGAGTTTATTCGCCGCGAGGGGCGGAAGGAGGCACGGGAGATGGAAGGCTTGTTTTCCGGGGCAGCACGCAAGCCGTGCAGATCGTCAAGTCATGAACCCCAAGGACATAATTCAAAGTCACATCTTAACGGATCCCGACACTATGTATCAGCTTTAAAAATATGTTCATCTGAAATCATTTCCATTTATATGCATCGATATAGTGTGTATACATTACCTAGGGTTTTTTTGAAAAATAGAATATCATTAATACTAAACGTTACTATAATTTAAGATTCCATAGCATGATCCCGATAAGGCCTCAAATGTAATTATCGGGGGGAGGGGGCGGGGAGGGGATGTCTCAAGAAGACAATCATCTATCCATCTTGGAACGGAAGAGATTTAGGTGACCGCCTGGCTCCGCCCACTCCGTAAGACACATCAAGCATTATTCTCCCATTTCGATCAAGTTACCGCTAATATTACGTGACTCACCCAAAGCCACCAAGCAGGTAAATGTCCCCTTTTCTCAGCCACTGTTTTCTAGCCAAACAGACCGCCACGCGGATTTCATGGGCCATCACAGACATGCAAGTGCGAGACCACTCACTAGGGGACCCCCTCCAGGGCCCGCTGTGCTCACGACGGGAGACAAACCACGGCTGGGGAATGAAAGACACAACCTGCGTGGCCGTGGCTTCCGGCCCCATTGCTGGTAGAGAAGCCCGGACCCAGGCCGCGGAAACCCTGCGGGACTCAGCGATTTGGCCACATGGCTGCCCTGGCCACGTGCAGGCGTCCAGCTCAGGTCAAGACGCTCCCCACAGCCACAGCCAGTCCCCAGAGGAAAGGGTGGAATCAGAACAGGCAGGAATAATCCAGAAAGGCCGGCGTGCCTGCGCTTCGGGGTCTCGGGGTTGTGAGCTGCCGACACAGGTGGACACCGGCTGCCCCCGCCCACCAGACGCTTCTGGGGGCCGGGACACGCAGGCACGTCCCGCAGGAGGGCTTGGCTCTGGGATCTGGGACTCAGTCAAGACCATGGGGTGAGGCCAGGCTGGGAAGACGTCCACGCCCACCGTGTCAAGGTCTTGCCAGGGAGCAGGTGTGGGCGTGGCGGAGGCTGGGATGGGACACTGAGCGGGGAGGGCTTCCCCGAGGCCTTTGCTGGGATGGCGTGAAGCCCGTTCGCAGAACAAGCGCGGGGTGCCGGGCGGGAATCTCTTGGCGCCCACGGGAACGTGGCCCGTCTCAACCCCGACGGGCCCAATCGGTCAGAAGCACAAACAATAATTAGCGGGACACTGAGAGGTCTGGTCCCCGAAGCACAAACGATAATTAGGGGGACGCTGAGAGGTCTGGTCCCCAATTCTCTGGGACACACCGAGCGGGAAAGCGTGTAGCCAGGCCTGGGCGGCGAGGCTCGACCATGTGACGAGGCGCTGAGTCAGGGCAGCTGAGGACAACGATCGCGGATGAGGCTGAGCACCGCCTGGAGGACCCTCTCCCTCGAGGGGCTGGCGTCCACCACGTGGCAGCCCGGGCTCTCCATCCACGCGTAGGAGACCTCCACCCTGGGGACGGGAGAAGGAAGAGGTTGGCACACGTCTCCGCTCGGCTCTCCGGGCACCCGGCGCTGTCCCACCCGCTGTCCCGCCAGCAGCGTGAAGCCAGGTCTCCGTTGGGTCTCCCACAGCCTCCCCTGGCACGAGCTCTGCCACAGGCCATGTTTGAGACACTGTGTCCAATACCTGACACGGCCCGGCCGGCCTGGCTCAGGGGTTGAGTGTCAACCTAGGAACCAGGAGGTCACAGTTCAATTCCCGGTCAGGGCGCATGCCAGGGCTGTGGGCTCGATGCCCAGTGTGGGGCATGAGGAGGCAGCCAATCAATGATTCTTTCTCATCATCTCTCCCTCTCTCTCTCTCTCTCCCTTCCTCTCTGAAATAAATAAGAATCTGTATTTTTAAAAATACCTGACAGGTTAGGAGTGATGTTTAGCAGCCAGCGTTTATGAGTCCCTACTGTCCGCCACGCAGTAGGGCTCTGCGTGAGCCTTCACCCTTCAGACCCAGTGACTTAGGGAGGACCCACTGGCACCCCATCTTGCAGACCAAGTAGCAGAGACAGGAGAGATTAGGTCATGCGGCCAATGACACACGTCTCCGCAGTCTGCGCCCCGGAGGGATTCAGAGGAGCCTGAGGTCACACCAGCCAGAGGCCCTTGGCGTGGATGCTGCTCCCTCCCGAGCGTCTGAGCACCCCGCCCGGCGAGGGCGCAGCACCTACTTCTGCCGGAATACGCTGTTGGCTTCCAGCTCCTCCTCCTCGCTGGTCCTCTCCAGGCCCCGGCCTCGGATCCTCCTCAGTCTCTCCTCAGGGCTCACCGTGAGCAGCACGACCAGGTCGGGCTTGAGCAGGTCCTTCGGCCACTGGTAAACGGGGTGGTGGGCCGGGGGCAGGTGCTGGACCGCCCCGCTCACCTCGGTGGCGATGGCGTAGGCGGCCGTGCTGTGCCAGTACCTGGGGGGCCAAGGGGTGGTGAGTTCCCCGTCTGCAGAAGGAACCGAGGTGGCTCTGAGCGTCAGCCACAGGTACCTCTGCTCGAGCCTCCCTCGCACTGCACCAACTAAATAAATAAACCTGCATCTTCTGTTTAAAGTCTTTATAAAATATCAAGAGTAGCCTGGCCAGCGTGGCTCCGTGGTTGAGGGTCGGCCTAGGAACCAGGAGGTCACAGTTGGATTCCCAGTCAGGGCACAGGCCCGGATTGCAGGCTTGATCCCCAGAGGGGGCCGTGCAGGAGGCAGCCGATCCATGATTCTCTCTCATCAGTGATGTTTCTCTCTCTCTCTCTCTCTCCCTCTCTCCCTTCTTCTCTGAAATCCATAAAAATATATTTTTTAAAAAAGAGTAACACGCACAACCACAGTGCGGATGCGGCGGGCTCCCCGAGCTGGCGACTCAGGGTTGGATGCCACCATTGCGTCACCTGGTTTGTCCTCCTCGGGGCTCATCCAGCTCTGATGGGCCCTTAGGCACAGGGTGTCCCAGAAAACGTACGGACTTTCACAGCTGAGCGAGCAGTTCCAGAAAGGAAACGTGTCTTAACAAACATGCCTGTACAATGACTCAGTGTAAACGTGAGTCAGGCATGTTAGGGGCACCCTGTGTGTATCACCCTCTCCTGCCACCGTGTGCTGGCTTCCTGCCAGCAGGGCACCGACGGGAGAGGTCGTTGGCACCGTGTAGCCGGCCAGAACATGGCTGCTGACTCAGCCACAAACCGGCAAACCGCTGAGATGGCTGATGGGGGAAGGAGGCTGTGGTCGCTGTCCCCGAGAAGGCAGCTCAGGCCCTGGGCAGGCGGCATCGTCTCCCTCACGCCTGTGTGTCTCAGCAGGAGGGTGGGAGAATGCCCTGTGCCCACCCAGCTTTTAGGACAGCGGATGTAGCCTTCTGAGCACAATGCCAGGCAGCAGTGCAGGTAATTAACGCATCATAGACGTTATTCCTATGACGATCGCTAACAGTTTCACCTAACACACACAAGTGTGGACTTGCGCGCGCGCACACACACGTATCAGGAAGGAAATGCCACCCTCACTCTCACCCACCTGTCCACCACCACGGGGGACCTGGCGGACGCCTGGGCTATCTCAGAAGCCACGATGTAGTTGCCCAGAGAGTAGAAGGCTCTCCTGATGATGGCGGGCTCGTCGTCGAAGGCCTGCCGCCACTGGCTGATGCAGGCGGGCGGCGACTTCAGCAGGGCGGCCTGGAGGGCGCCTGCCACCGCCTGGGTCACGGTGGTTTTGCCTGCGGGTCACACAGCACATCTTGGCCTGTCCCTGGCTGGGGGGACAGGGAGTGGGGCCCTGGCCGTTGCCGGCAGTCCTGCCGCCTATCCCTCGGCGAGCTGGTTAAATCACGTGATTCACAGCACGCATGTCGAACTCACGGCCCGTGGGCCGCAGGCCGCGTTCGTTCGGCCCGCGTTAGCCTGTGAGTTGGACATGCTTGCTTCACAGACGCTTGCAGGCCCTTGGGAACCGGGATCCGCTCTCTGGTGTCGGAATCCCGGGAGGGGAGCCCCCTTGTTGGCAAATGATCGGCAAGCTCCGGCGGGGAGGCGGATCGGCTCTGCTCGCACCTCCTGACCGGCCAGCTGCCCCGGGAACGGGCCCCCCAGCCGCCACACCAGGTGACCCCATTGTCCCCCGGGAACAGCCTGTCACCCGGCCGGCCAGTGCGGCTCAGCAGCTGGGCGCTGACCCAGGAATGAAGAGGTCACTGTTCGATTCCCGGTCAGGGCACCTGCCCAGGTTGTGGGCTGGATCCCGGTGGAGGCTGTGCAGGAGGCAGCTGATCGATGTTTCTCTCTCTCCCTCTCCCTCTCCCTTTCTCTCTCTCTGAAAATAACAATAGTAATAATAATAGTAATATTAACAGCCGTGTCCAGGGCCTCTCCTCTGCCTCGGCCGCACCCCTGCGTGCGCTGGGGGCTAAGTGCAGGCGCCTCCACTGTGTTTTCATGTCCACTTGGCGGCTCCCAAAGCTTCCTCTGCCCACGTCCTGCTTCTTCCACTCCCGCTCTCCAGGGGCCTCTGGTCACCTGGGGTTTCCTGACCACACCTCCGCGGTGCTGATTCTGGGTGGCGAGGACCCATCCCACCTTCCTCGCCTGCCCAGCCCCTCTCTGTGCCGAACAACCCCCGCCAACTCCCTTCCCCCAGCTCTCCCTGACCGTCTCTGGCCCCCTGGCCTCCCACCCAGGCTGCACCCACTGCCATCCGTGTTCCTGAGGCTCAATGCCCACCCCCAGGCCGCCCACCGAAGGGCTTCTGCATCTCAGCGTCGCACCCCCAGCTCCTCCGGGACAGCCAGGGGCTCCCAGGCCCAGCGGACTCTGTGCAGTTCTCTGGGGCAAGACCTGTCTGTCCGGCACCTGCTGGCCCTGTCGCTGCCACACCCACAAGGAAAGGCTCTCACCTGTGGCGTCCAGGCCCTCTATGACGATGACGGGGAACGCGCCTCTGAGCACCTGCCGGGGGCACTGGTCCACCAGCTCCAGCACCGCCCGGGCCTCGGGCATGAAGGGCGTGCACTGCAAACAGCACGTCAGCGTCAGCGGGCAGTGGGGAGCAGAGCCTCAGCTGAGCCGAGAGCAAGCCTGGAGCCCGCAGGCAGCCATGGCAGCTGGCGCCACCCGCGGTTCACGGTGTGCGGACCCGGAGGGCGGGGTGGCTGCGGCTCAGAGTCGGTAACGGTCAGGGTCCCGCTCCCCAAGGAGGAAGGACAGGAGTGACACCCCATTACGGACTAGCGTCACCCAGCGACGTGGGAACCCCGGCCCCGCCTGGGAAGTGCGTCCAACATGGAGGATCGGCTGCACCCGCCATGGGCTCCGAAGGGAGCTGCGGCACCCCCCTCCATCGCTCCTGTGTGAAACCCCACCCTGCGGAGTGGGATGATGGAGGGAGCACCGGGCACCTCAGGGGCTCAGGAGCCGGGGTTCTCGGGGACCCAGCCTGAGGTTCAGGGGCCTGGGGTTCAGGGGCACCCGGGGAGGCCACTCTGTGGGCCTGGATTCACTTTACAAGCTTATGGGGAGCGTGGGATCAGGTGGGAGCAGAGCGGGCTGTGACGGGGTTCAGAGAGCGGACTCTGAGTCGCCCCACTGGAGCCCCCCCCGCCGCCCCTCCCGGCAGCTCTGTGCTGAGGCCCAGGCATGGCCGTGTGCGTGTGCGTGGCTGAGCTGGCATCCTGACAACTCTGTCAGGGGTTGCCCCAGCATTCCCTCTGTGGATAAGGAAACAGGTGCAAAAACATTTAAGAAACTTGCTGAGCCTGGCCAGCGCGGCTCAGTGGCCGAGCGTCCACCCAGGAGCCAGGAGGCCAGGGTTCGATTCCCGGTCAGGGCACAGTCCCAGTTGGGGGCTCAATCCCAGTGTGGGGCATGCAGGAGGCTCTGGTCCGTGATTCTCTTTCATCACTGATGTTTCTCTTTGCCTCTCCCTCCCTCTCTGAGAATAATAATAAAACAAATTTAAAAAGAAAGTGAAAGTGACACAGGCCCTCAAAGCCAGTGTCTGGGTTTCACCCCAAGCTGCCCTCCTGCGAGTGAATGCCCGTCCCCAGGGCGACCCCATAAGCTTGTAGAATGAATCCAGGCCCACAGTGCGGCCTCCCGGGCGCCCCTGGACCCCAGGCCCTGGCGAGGTTGGGTCCCCGAGAACCCCGGCTCCTGGGCCCCTGAGGTGCCCGGTGCTCCCTTCATCACCAGGAGCTGTGGAGAGGGGAGCCGGCAGCTCCGTGGCCCAAGCAAGCGGCCTGTTTCAGTCCCAGCTACTTACACCCCCAGAAGCCTGCCTTTCTGCACCCCCACCTTGGGAGGTGAGACCCTGAGCTGACATCATCTCCATGCCCCGCGGCTCCTGTCCTGTCCTGTGCCCAGCTCTGTGCCAGGGGCCAGGTGGCCCATCGGGGTGGGCGGTCCTAGCGGCCGGGATCTCCAAAGGGTCTGGACAGAGCCGGGTAGGCAGGCCGCCTCCGTGAACCAAGGACCCGTG